AAAAACTTGATCCTCTAACATTTGCACCATTTGCACTATTTCTGTTCTAATGGCCAATCCATCATTTTTGGGGGGAATTTTTATTTGTTTATTTTTTTTATTTTTTAATAAGTATCGGTTCAGGCACCGGAACCGTTTTAAAAGTATCGATTTGGCACCGGTATCGAAAAAACCCCAAACGATACCCAACCCTAGTAATTTGTGTAATTGTTTGTGTTTCATTACTGACTTTATTAGTTAAGCTAGTAGTTTTTGCTTTGGTATAGAAGTACTTAAAATAAGCTTTCAGTAATAAATGAAAAGCAAACCTTTTTTTTTTTCCGATCTGAAAAAATTATCCGATCCATGACTCAAAATCCGTAATATGATCTGAACTGAGTTATTTTTTAATTAACAGATCTGCTGTATCTAGTCAAGATTGATGTTGTTCAGTCTTACCACATCTGAGTCTTCAAATTCTCTTGCAGCTTTTGCAAGAATCCCAAGTTTTCTCGAATCAGGCGTGGAGGCCTTGCAGGTGGTTTGTCTTGTTTTGATGGGAGATGATTGTTCATTTGGTCCTGAGTAAGAAAGTGGAGAAGGCTTATAGAAAGAACTTGTTGAGGAACAACACAATAAATAAAACCATAAATATATTATCACCATCTGAAATGTCTCGTCCATCACAATCTTCATCTAATCCAGATCTTTTGGACATTTCAGGCTCTGGAGTTTCTTGTTCTTGGACCGGGACGGGAGACTCGTCCTGACTGTCATGACCTGCAGCATCAGCCACATCTGGAGGAGAACTGGCTCTCTCTGGAGAAGGCTGAGGGTCGGTCCTCACAGCTGGACACACGCTGTTCTCGGAGGCGATTTGTGTTTCAGATGAATCCGACACAACGACAGACTTCTGAGGAGAGTTTTGTAAGCTATCACTCTCAGGTTCTGAGCTCTGAGTGACTTTCTTCTTACGCAGAGGGCTTTGCGTGAAACAAAGCAGTTTTCTTTTCGTGGGACTCTTCTTCACGAGCTTATGCTGGAGGTGCTTTAGAAACCGATCCCTCATGGACTGCCAGCTGTGCTCGGTCACGCGCCGTTTCTCCATCTCTTTCCAAACCAGGTTGCCTTTGGCTTCATGTTGCCGCTTTTCCATGAACTTCAAGATGGCTGCGTCGTCTTCAGGCGAGTAACCCAACTGTCCATTGCCCTGGTGCCGGGTCGCCATCCTCGTCTGGACAGACGGTCCCGCGCTAATCACATAGTCGTCCAGATTCAGCTGCTGGTTCTGCTCTACACAATCTGTGACGTATTTCGTAGAGATGTACTTTTGTCCGGAGCTCGCCGTGACTGTAGTCGCGTCCCCGGGGTCGATCAGCAAAATAGCTCCGGGCTCTTGACTGCGACACAAAGTGCCTCCTCCGTTAGTTACCAGAGGGTAAAGCTGAGTTTTAGTTGGGCCGGGTCTCACATAGAAGCGCATCGATTGTCCACCTGTGTCCAGGAATAAGACGGGAGAAATGTCAGGGACCTCCTCCTTTCCCTCCTTCGACATGGTGAAGGTTATCTGGGGGTAAATGAGAAAGCTGTTTTCATATTAAAGCTTTAAAAAGACATTAGTTTGGTTTGAAATGATAAAACAATAGATGTGTTATTCAATATTAGGACTATAGTATTGTGAAGATTTCTGGTTGACATGTTGATGCCTCATGTTCATATTAATGTGATCAACTACACTCAGAAAAGTCAAATTAGGTCTGATATAAGCTCTAGCAGCATTTGTTTATAGATAGATAGATAGATAGATATGATTTTATAGATAGATAGATAGATAGATAGATATGCTTGGATAGATAGATAGATAGATATGCTTGGATAGATAGATAGATAGATATGCTTGTAGAGATAGATAGATATGCTTGTAGAGATAGATAGATGGATAGATAGATAGATAGATATGCTTGGATAGATAGATAGATAGATATGCTTGTAGATATAGATAGATAGATAGACAGATAGATATGCTTGTAAATATAGATAGATAGATAGATATGCTTGGATAGATAGATAGATAGATATGCTTGTAGAGATAGATAGATAGATAGATAGATATGCTTGTAGATATAGATAGATAGATAGACAGATAGATAAGCTTGTAGATAGATAGATAGATAGATATGCTTGTAAATATAGATAGATAGATAGATATGCTTGGATAGATAGATAGATAGATAGATAGATAGATAGATAGATAGATAGATAGATAGATAGATAGATAGATAGATAGATAGATAGATAGATAGATAGATAGATAGATAGATAGATAGATAGATAGATAGATAGATAGATAGATAGATAGATAGATAGATAGATAGATAGATAGATAGATAGATAGATAGATAGATAGATAGATAGATAGATAGATAGATAGATAGATAGATAGATAGATAGATAGATAGATAGATAGATAGATAGATAGATAGATAGATAGATAGATAGATAGATAGATAGATAGATAGATAGATAGATAGATAGATAGATAGATAGATAGATAGATAGATAGATAGATAGATAGATAGATAGATAGATAGATAGATAGATAGATAGATAGATAGATAGATAGATAGATAGATAGATAGATAGATAGATAGATAGATAGATAGATAGATAGATAGATAGATAGATAGATAGATAGATAGATAGATAGATAGATAGATAGATAGATAGATAGATAGATAGATAGATAGATAGATAGATAGATAGATAGATAGATAGATAGATAGATAGATAGATAGATAGATAGATAGACAGATAGATATGCTTGTAAATATAGATAGATAGATATGCTTGTAAATATAGATAGATAGATAGATAAGCTTGTATAGATCGATATATAGAATTCATTAACTCATTGTCTTTACTCTCTGACATCACGCTGATTTAAAACACATACTTTATGAATAAATTCTAACTTAATAACCATAACTTGGTGTACTCATAGTTTTATTTACACTCGCGAATCTGCTACCATGAATCAGATTTGCACGCCACAGGCTTTCCCTGTTAATCTGCTTACACAAAGGACTAGTGTAGAGTCGCTACCTGTCGAGAAAACTAACTATTGATGAAAGTAAACATAAACTACTTGCGTCTCGCGGCGCGTCCAAAGATCCTCTGAGCTGAGAGACACGTGAAAGCGATATTTCACAATAAGAGTCTCTGCTGCAGCGCCGCCGAGAAGAGAAGCGTGTACGAGAGACTTTAATTCTGCAAACAGGCGGAGAAGGAAACGCTCGCTGTCTCAGCGCGGGGAAACTATAAAAGTGAAAGTAAAGGTGCAAACGATTTTTATCAACCAAAATTTGTATTAACCATTTTATAATTTATTATTGTTGTTAGTAACAGTAGTAGTTTGATTTCTCTTACTTCTTTTTAAAATGCTTTCATTGACGGAAACAAAACAGGCAAGTATTTGTTTGAATCATAAGTTAGTGGGCTGATATAGCAGTAGTAGATCCCTGAATCAGCAGATGTAAGGTTATTGAGTATCAGTGTGAAGTTGCCATTCACATACTGGTCCGGAAACATTTCAGCTCTGTTCTTGTAGGCTTGGCTCTGTTTGGATGTCACTCCTTTGCCTTCAACTATGTCATATACATTCAGGCTGTCATTGTGTCTCCAATGTATGCTTATGTTTTCACTTTTGAAATTAAAAAAATGGTACTTGCAGATAATATAATTACATATAACTGCACGCAGCAATTTAGGGGCCAAGAACTACAGAAGCAAGCAAGGCAGCGAGCATCACACCAACTGCAGCAATGAGTAACTGAAGCCGTTTTAAGATGATTTTAGACAAAATGGCTGAAAATGTATAAACACAAGCACTAGCAACATGATTTAATGGTTTATCAATTTTGACCAACAGGTGGCGCTGTTATCAAATCGATGTGGTGTGATCTGTGTGAGTTGACAATGGCACACATAAAGGTTTCAATTTCAGAGCATGGTATAGAAGACACATACCGAGTTTCATAACGTTACGCCAATGCGTTCGTAAAATATAGCATTTTACAACAAAATTCAATATGGCTGATGCCCAAAATAGCCGACATGGGAAAACTGGGTATCATTAGACTCAGTATGTCGCACTGATTCTAAAAAGACCAGTCTTATGATTTTTGACCAATAAGAAGTTCAGGTACCCTCAGGTCATGGTTATTACAACACACACCAAGTTTGGTCTCAATACGCTAAAGCATTGCATAGATAGCCTCATGTTCATTTTGGCATGCTCTTCATCAAATTAGTTTGCACATTTTTCAAGAAAGGTTCGACTAATCAACTTGAATTCCATAACTTTTTGCCAGCACTGTACTTGGCCCATAATGAAATAAATAACAGGCCATTTAAGAATAAATATAAGACAGCACACTTTCATGACCGTTTCATATAAAGTACCCTTTTAAATAGTGCAGATTGTAATACTGTCAAATTAAATTTTACTTTAAAACGCATTTTAAATCATCATGTTTTAATAACCCTTTGTTGTGCTTTAAAGGGGTCATATGACGTTGCTAAAAAGAACATTATTTTGTGTATTTGGTGTAATGAAATGTGTTTATGAGGTTAGCGTCTCCACAACATGGCGGCGGCAGCGGCAACAATACTACAGCGAGAATAAAAGTTACGCCTTCTTTCTTTGCATGAACATTTAGGCGGCGTTATGCAAATCTTCCCACATTGTGACGTAGATATGTGGGGGCGTGTTAGAACGAGCCGTTTTAGGTAGGCGTGGCTGACTCTTAACTTTTATAAAGAATATCTCTTTGGATTTGAGACTTTAGTCTTTGCAACTTTACAGATCTTCTTTATGCACCAAGAGCTTGTAACACTCAAAAGAGAAAGGAAAAATTGAAATCGCATCATATGAACCCTTTAAAGAAGTGCACTTATTTTGATGTGTTGACTAAGGCCCTGTTTACACTAGTGCGTTTTCGTTTTAAAATGGCGTTTTAAAATGAAAACGATCCTCGTCTACACTTGCGATCTCCATCCACACTACACAACCGAAAACGCATGTCACATGACCATTCATGCAGGTACAACCTATATCTATGAGTACAACAATGAGCATGATGTTATTGTTTACACGGTCGTCAAGGATACGTAGAGCGAATATGGGCAGCCACGCCATCGTTTTCAAAAGTCTCCATTTTGGTCCGTTTACACTGAAACGCAAACCCGGAGTTTTCAAACTAAAACGGGGTCTGCAGCGTTTTCAAAAGTCTCCGTTTTCGAGGGCTGAAAACGCCGGAGTAGTGTAAACGACAGGCGTAACCGTAGCAAAAGTTATGCGTTTTAAAACGAAAACGCTCTAGTGTAAACGTAACCTAACATACTAAAGCTGTAAACAAATGTTTACATTTAAAGTTAATATATTTATATTATAAATCATATATAAATTCACTAAATTGCAACTTCATCATTACAAATGTGTAATTCCAAATATATTTAAATACATGGCATACAGGTTTCAATAGAAATTACACTGAAGCATATTTTAGTTACCATACGTGCTTACAAATGCAAATATAACTTACCCCAAAAAGGATTTGGACACTTAAGACATAAAACTGTTTTACATGACTTTTGTCAATGTACAGTATATCATAATATGAAAGCAATTGTTGTAATTTTAAAGAAATATAGCACAAACACTTTTCAAGCAAAACATTTCACAAAATGAAGTTTTGTTTAGATATACTGTTCAAAATGAAGAAAAAATGTCTTGAACACTTGACCCTGGAGCACAAAACCAGTCATAAGTGTTAGGATAGGACAATATTTGGCCGAGATACAACTATTTGAAAATCTGGAATCTGAGGGTGCAAAAAAATCAAAATACTGAGAGAATTGCCTTTAAAGTTGTCCAAATGAAGTTCTTAGCAATGCATATTACTAATCAAAAATGAAGTTTTGATATATTTACGGTAGGAAATTTACAAAATATCTTCATGAAACATGATCTTTAGGCTACATATCCTAATGATTTTTGGCATAAAAGAAAAAATGATTAAAGGGGTCATATGATGCTGCTAAAAAGAACAGTATTTTGTGTATTTGGTCTTTATGCGGTTTAAGGTTAAAAAAACACATTATTTTCCACATACTGT